AAAAGATCACTTTGGACAGGAGTTTTTGGCCATGGAATCGGCGAGTAAGCCTTTAATATATGTTCTTAAATGTAGAGTAATCGTGTCTTTCAAAAACTTTTTACGATATAATTTAATTCTTCTTCCATATAATATATAGGACGGAGGAAGAGAGGATATTTAGGGTTAACGGTATTCCGTTGTTCGAAGAGTGCAAGTTTGTGTTCGAATACAAACAAGCACTGGCATGCAACTTTGATGGGATAATGGGATTCGGCCCGACCAACCCACTGGTCATTGATGAAGATGACGAAGATGATGGAAGTGACGGTCTGGTAGAAGCCGACCCGGTTGTATTCCCGGATCACGAAGTTCCGAACATTGGAAACGATGGACGGCCAAATGAAGACGATGAACTAGCTGTGAGTATCAACGATCATCATGATGATGTTGTTAATCTGATGCCGATGGATCCGTTGTTGCCGATTAATCCCAAGTTCCGTGTACATTAGTTAATCTTGTTTCGTAACTGCATTGGGTTGATATTTATCTAAGTTATTATTAAGTTTGTGTCTTTTGTTCGGGACTAAGTTCCCAAATTTTCACATATGTACGGATGGTACTTCGTAGGGTAAGTATTTGCAAGGGACTACGATGCCCGATTTTCAATCGGATATTAATGATTAACTACTTTTATGTCAATTAGGGCTGAAAATTTTCTGCGCTTATGTGAAATCCGCTGCTACACCACCACCGTCGGTTGCATACTACTCGAGCAAATCTTATCTGATCACTCCGTCTCATCATTATTCTTGGGGTGGGGGGGGGGGGAGGGGGAGGGATTCACTTTGATGCAAGTTTTTCAAATAGGCTCCTGCCGCTGCGGAGTTATTCAGGATTTCGAGGCTTGATGATTAACCGTCGTTTATTCTCATCATCATCCGCCACTTATAAGGATAAAGATTACATTCCTGCAGTCACTGATAAGTTTTTGCCCGAGCACAACAAAAGCAGCTTTCCTAATGGATTCATTGATCTAGGACCAGCCCTTATATCCTATGCATATGGATGGGATATGCAATATACTCTCACCATCGGAGGTGAATAATATTCTGTCAACTATCAAAAAGCCTTTGCTTTTCAACACATCTCTATAACTGCAATAGGATTTTATAGCTTGAGAAATTGCACCATATAATAACTTCATTTAGTCATTAGATCAAGAATGTAATGCTCATTCATTTAGTCATTCCGTAAATAGATGAAGAATGTAATGCTCATTAGCATTTGCTAATTACTATGAAGTATGATAATTCCACGAGTCGTAAAAGTCAAAATCGGTAGTCTTCTTTCGGCTGATAATATTATTGAAATTGATGCTTCTATCTCTATATTGCTGCATATAAAAGATTAAAATCTGACTGCAGCTTTTCTCCCTTTCTATCATACATGATTGACTATTTTTAGTCTTGCATTCAGAGAAATAATTGGGAATATTATTCACAGTCTGCTGTGCCGGCGAGATAAGATGTTTTCAGTTGGCGACACAATTGCAGTACAGACAACATTTTTTTTTTGTTTTTTTTTTTAAGTTACATTTGGTGGTCTCTTGTGCTATATATTATTATATGACATCTGCCACAATTTGATTGTTCTCCTAGCTAGTGTTAATGTACCTAGCTAAAATTTCATGTTTAATGTTTTTATTTTAATGATTTAAGTTTTTTACTATTTGCCAAGGTTCATCCAAACAAGTTCAATGGATTTATTACAAATGCTTTATTTTTTTCAATATGTTTATATTTTCTTTGGATTTTTTCACTCTATATTTCTTTTTCTTACCTTTTCTCAATTGCTACTCCTTTTTGCAGGTTGGTCCTATATTAGGTGAAGTGTTAAAAGTAGGTCTTAAAACATTATTGCGGGTTGGAAAAAAAGCTCATGTTTTGGTCCCAAATTGTTGGTATTTCTCCCAGGTATGCATCCAATCATGGTTTTCGGAGTCTTATGTAAAACTAGTAATTTGAGTAATTAAAATGTTGTATCTTGTGTCAAATTTAGACCTTTAAAAATAAATCGATGGGAAGAAGGAAAACCATGTTCAAAAATATTATTGTAAAAACGGATGACAAAGACAAGATTTCCCAAATCTCGGAGGGTATAAAGTCCATGCTCGCATCTAATCTAGACGTGTCCTTAGAAAAGGTGGCGCCTTATTGTATCTCGTCTCTGACTGAGGTGCAACCTTATACAGTATTGACCTTCGGATGCAATCTTGAACTATTGGTATGTCTTTTGCTTTTATCATTTTTTCTTCGCATGTTCTTCTATTACATTATTGTGTCTCTAATCGGGTGCTTATTTCTTTTTTGGCAGAGCAGCGATGTAGAGAATGTTAGCGTTAGCTATGTAGAGGATGCTCTTCTTGAACAAGCCTTTCATCTCATCTTTAAACATGGTGTTACCCTGGCTCGTAAACAAGACCTTATCACTTGAAAAACGGATTTATTTTTTATTTTTTTAGGGATTATATTTATCTTTTATTTGTTGAAAAAGGCAATGTTGTGATCTTGCTGGATTGTTCAATTCCTTGATGAAGCTATCTATTTATGAGTGAGTTATTGCTTAAAAGAAAGAGTTTTTTTTTTTGTTTTTTTATTTTTTATTTTTTTATTATCAAATTGATGAGGGTGGTATTAAGATGAAACTTCAAGAAATGCAAATCTCAATTACACAAGTTGAAATATGAAAGAGATTGAGAGTTTCGAATCTCAAACTTTATTATCAGACGATTATAATATTCCAATCTGCCATTTCTCCTTCCGTACACCAAACTTATAGGCTAGCCATGTTATAATTATCAAGAAATTTAAATACGAAAATATATATCAGCACTGAAAAATAGCCACTTCATGAACTTGGAAGTTTGAAAGCTCCAGGCTTATTCATGAACTTGTAGTTTGGAATGTAAAGTGGTTTAGTCTCCAACACCACCAACCATAAATGAAGTTTGACCCACTACATCATCCTCTCAGGTGGGAAAGAATTCATCTCAGATGTCAAATCATTCTCGCCGTGATAAGGAACTAAGTCAAGAACATTGAACGTAGAATGAGTACGTAAATGAGCTGGAAGATCAACCTTGTACGCATTATCGTTAATTTTTTTTTGAATCCGACAAGGACCAACCTTTTTCTCCTTGAGTTTATGATATGCCCCAGCTGGAAACCTTTCTTTTTTAAAATAAACCCAAACAAAATCACCTTCCTCGAAAGTTTGAACTCGACGGTGACTATCGGCAGCCTTCTTGTAAGATGCAGTACTTTCCGCAAGTTTCTTTTGGACTTCTTCGTGAATTTTGGTCATGGTAGTTGTAAAATCTTCAGGCTTTCTATTAGATGTGGTGACATTAGAAAGATCGAGATAGTGGCCAGGAGCACGTCCATAAACAATTTCAAATGGACTTTTTCCTGTAGAGCGATTCTCAGCTGAATTATACGCAAATTCAGCTCTAGGAAGAACGAGATCCCATTGCTTTATTCTCTTGGAAGCGAAACTCCGAAGCAAATTTCCTAAAGTTCGGTTGACCACTTCGGTCTGCCCATCGGTTTGAGGATGATACGCACTACTGTACAACAAACTAATACCGATTTTCTTCCAAAGACTTCTCCAAAAATGGCTAAGGAATTTAGAATCACGATTAGAAGTGATGGATTTCGGAATTCCATGAAGCTTCACAACCTCATTGAAATAAAGAGCAGCTATATACGAGGCATCCATAGTTTTCTTGCATGGAATAAAATGGGCCATCTTGGAGAATCGATCAACCACTACAAAGATGGAATCGAAACCTCGTTGTGTTCTTGGTAACCCAACAACAAAGTCCATGCTAACGTCCTCCCACGGAACATTAGGAATAGGCAATGGGATATAAGCACCGGTGTTTTGTGTTTGTCCTTTGCAGGTTTGGCATATACGACATCTTTGCACAATTTTTGCGACGTCTCCATAAAGACCATACCAAAAATATTTTTCCTTAACCAGCAGCAAGGTTTTATCACGCCCAAAATGTCCGCCGAGTCCTCCGCTGTGAAGTTCCTTGACGATGCGCTCCCTAAGTGAAGATTTAGGAATGCATAGTCGTGGACCTTTAAAGAGAAATCCATTACTCAGGCAATAATCTTCATAGCCTCATTTTGTGCTCATGTGACAGATTTCTTTAACCTCGAGATCCTCCGAATACATTGTCCTTATGACATCAAAACACTCAAGTTGCGTGGTCAATGTAGGTAACAAAGCAATTCTTCGACTAAGTGCATCGGCCACTTTGTTAATCTTGCCACTTTTATGCCTTAAGATAAAAGTGTGTTCTTGTAAGAAAGAAACCCAACCTGCATGTCTCCTATTCAAATTAGCTTGAGAGTTAATATACTTGAGGGATTCATGGTCACAATTGAGGATAAATTCTCTTTGAATGAGATAAGGTCTCCAATGACGAAGAGTCTGAACAATAGCGTAGAACTCAATATCATACGTAGAATACTTTTTCCTTGTCTCATTTAGCTTTTCGCTGTAGAAGGCAATGGGGAGTCCTTCTTGACTGAGTACTCCTCCAATTCCAATATGAGACGCATCACAATCGACCGCAAAGATTTTCTCAAAATCTGGAAGCACAAGGACCGGGGCAGTAGACAACTTTTCCTTGATAAGCACAAAGCTCTTGGTCGCATCTGGTGTCCAAATAAATTCCCTCTTCTTCAAGCAATCTGTTAATGGTGCTGCAACGGTGCTAAAATTTCGAACAAACCGCCGATAAAATGAAGCTAATCCATGGAAACTCCGAGCCTCGTGTAAACTCTTAGGAATAGGCCATTCTTGAACGGCCTTGATTTTTCCTTCATCCACCATAATCCCTGCGGGATTTAAAACGAATCCTAGGAAAACAAGATGAGTGGTCATAAAAGAACACTTTCCCAGATTGATGTAGAGTTTTTCTTGTCTCAGTTGCATAAGGACCATTCTTAAATGTTCAATGTGGTCAGAAGGGTTTCGACTGTAGATAAGAATATCATCGAAATACACAACAATAAATTTTCCAATAAAGAGTGAAGAGCTTGATTCATTACCCTCATGAACGTGCTTGGAGCATTGCTAAGGCCAAATGGCATAACAAGCCATTCGTACAGGCCTTCTCTTGTTTTGAACGCCGTCTTCCATTCATCTTCCGGCTTGATTCGAATTTGATGATATCCGCTTATGAGATCAATTTTCGAGAATATTTGTGCACCAACCAACATATCAAACATATCATCAATTCTCGGTATGGGAAATCGATATCGGATAGTGATTCGATTAAGCGCCCGACTATCAGTACACATGCGCCAAGACCCATCCTTCTTTGGAGTAAGTAGTGCCGGGACAACACAAGGACTTAAGCTCTCCCTGATGTAACCTTTGTTCAACAATTCCACTACCTGCCGATGAAGCTCTTCGTGTTCTTTTGGACTCATCCGATAGTGGGCTTTGTTGGGAAGTGAAGCTCCTAGAATCAAATCAATTTGATGTTGAATCTCTCTTAGAGGTGGAAGGTCACTCGGCAATTCTTTTGGAGCAACATCATTGAACTCCTCCAATAGAATTTTAACATCGGCTGGAATTTTTGTGGATTGTGTAGTTCCATCGACGATCAGAAGATAGATTAACCTATCTCTTTTAACTTCCTTCTCAAACTGCGACAAAGTAAGTAAGGCATGGCCCTCTTCTTTTTTTACAGGTTTGGGTTCACAAACATCTTTACATGGTAAAAGAAGAATTTCAGTTTTTCCCACCATAAACTTATAAGTATTTCTTCTTCCGTCATGGATTGCGCCTCTATCATATTGCCAAGGTCTACCCAATAATAGGTGTCCAACATCCATTGGAGTTACATCACACCATACTTCCTCATAATATTTTTTTCCCATAGAAAAAGAAACGAGACATTTCTTCTCAATTTTTATCTCATTGTCCTTGTTTATCCATGAGACAGCATACGGTCTTGGGTGGGGTACAACCTTGAGTCTGAGCTTGTCCACCATCTCCTGGGAAACAAAATTCTCGAAACTACCTCCATCATTGACGAGAGAACATACATTTCCATGAGATTTACACCGTGTCCTAAAGATGTTGTGCCGTAGCCAATTTTCATCGCTATCTTGCTTGGGGGCAGCAAGAACTCGTTGAATTACCAAGCATTCTCCCTCCTCTGGCTCAATCTCTTCGCGCTCGTAATTGGCATCTTCATCATATTTTGGCTCTGGTTCTTCTATTTGTTTTTCGGTTCCTTCTTCACCCACAAGCCCCATACGAGCATCACTCCTCCGCTTCGGGCACTCATTCATGTAATGTCCAGGTTGGCCGCATTTGAAACAATTGGCAGGTTTAGCTTTGTTTGCTGCTGAATTATTCTCACTTTTGCTTCTTTTAGGGCGATTTTGATTGGAAAGTTCGGTTTTGGATGGATAGAGGCTTTGAATATCCACAAACTTCCTCGCACCCCGTCTTGATAACTTTGATTCAACTTTCAAGGCCAATTGATAGGCGTCGTTTAACTTCCACACCTGCTGCAACTCCACTTCATCTCTAATGGGTAGTCTCAAGCCATTAACATATCTTGCAATAAGATGATCTTCAGACTCTTGATTGTCACAACGAGCCATTAATTTGTAAATTATTCTGTATAGTCAACCACACTTCTATTGCCCAGTTGTAACGTATTAAATTGCATAAATATATTTTGAGCAAAATTCAGGGGTAGAAAATTTTCTTGTAATCGTGCTTTCATTTTTTCCCATGAACCAATCTTCGGCTTTCCTTTTCTTAATCTCATATCTTGTACCTTATCCCACCAAGAGGATGCATAACCGCGGAGCCTGGTCGCCACCAACTTCACTTTTTGATTCTCGGGAATTTCTTTGTACTCAAAGAATTTCTCTACAGCACTAAGCCTATCCAAAAACTCATCCGGTTGAAGGCGTCCCTGGAATTCTGGTAGATCAACCTTTAGAGTGTCCGAAGGATATGACATTCTTCTACCAAAATTTTGATGTTGGCTCTCAGCAAAAGGATTCGTTAGCTCTGAGTCATCACTAGAATAACCATGACTAGAACCTCGTCCACTTCTGGCTTCCTGACGCTCGAGACGCAACGTTAACTCCTCAACTTGTCTCCGGATAGTTTGAGTTTCAGCATTTCGTTCATAACCCAAGTTTTCCATGATTGGGTTATTTCTTCCACGCCCACCTCTTCCTCTTCTTACTGCCATCGAGAAAGAAGACACAGGCCCAAACGAGATTGGCTCGTGATACCAAATGATGAGGGTGGTATTAAGATGAAAATTCAAGAAATGCAAATCTCAATTACACAAGTTGAAATATGAAAGAGATTGAGAGTTTCGAATCTCAAACTTTATTATCAGGCGATTATAATATTCCGATCTGCCATTTCTCCTTCCGTACACCAAACTTATAGGCTAGCCATGTTATAATTATCAAGAAACTTAAATACGAAAATAAATATTAGCACTGAAAAATAGCAACTTCATGAACTTGGAAGTTTGAAAGCTCCAGGTTTATTCATGAACTTGTAGTTTGGAATGTAAAGTGGTTTAGTCTCCAACACCACCAACCATAAATGATGTTTGACTCACTACATCACAAATAGATTTGCTTCATTGATTATTCTTCTTGCAATTATGAATTAATTATGTAACAAATACGAAGATACAAAGTTCGTTATTGTTTTCCATTTTTTTTAGGAGCTATAATTTCTGAATTAAGGCGAATGCCCGATGTATAGTGCGATGTTCTTGTAAAAGCCATCAATGTCGTCCTTAAGCATCGTGTTACCCCGGATCCAGAACGTCACTTCACACTCACGTTGAATGTGAAAAGAGGAAATGTTGTTTTTTTTCGGATTATATTTTCTTCCTTGCCAATTTAATATGTTATTTAATTCTCGAGAATTATAGATCGTGAGCTAACATGGTTTTAAGTGCTTATTTCTAGAATTATGAAATATTATCATGCAAATTTGTGGGTATTGTTAACACTTTTCTAGCTGCCATGGTTTATATAGTAATTGCACCACAGAGTAACTTCATTGGTTCATTCGACATCGGGAAATATTTTTAGTTACAGGCTTTTGGTTTGAAAGTAATAGCGTTTGCCAATTATTAAGTAGTTTGATAAGTGCAGAGTCAAAATTCGTGATGTTTCTTAGTTTGTTGCTACATATTAAATCTGACTACTTATTTTCCATCTATCATACAGGAGTGCCTACTGCTTTTGCAAGTAAATACATACATGGGAGTGTTCTTAGTGGTCTCGACGTACAAAATTCTAAACAATTTTCGATGGGCGACACAATTAAAGTACGTTTTCCTAGAGTTGTTTATGTTTAATGTTTCGCATTTTTTTAGTGGTTAAGTTTTTTTTAGGATTCCTTGCATTTGGATTGAAAGATTTGAATTTGACTAGAGAATTTCAAACGACCTCTATTATAAAGTGGCTTTCAACTCAAAAACTAGTTCAAGTTGAGAGCTAAAGATTCGAAATCCCTCGTCAAAGAATTCATCTAAACAAAGTAAATGGATTTGTTATGAGGGATTTCAAATGTTCTATAGTTTTTTTATATATGTTCACCGAGTGAATTTAATATGTTCGTTTCAAAATGTTTGACTCACGTTTTGACCCTTGTTCCCTCTATCTTTTTCGTTACCCTTTCTCTTCTTGCTATTCTTTCTGCAGGTTGGAAATGAAGAAAGTGAACTGGTAAATATGGATCTCAAAACTGCATCAATTGTTACTTCAGAAGGTCTTGCTATTAGTATCCCAAATTCTATGTTTTCAACCCAGGTTTGCATAATATCTTTATTTTCCGAGTCCCTTTTTTTTTTTTTTTTAATTTATAAATTTCGAGTTAAATTGTATGAGGGTAAAGGAAGAAAGAGCAGTAGTTAAAATGTATCTTCTGCCAATGTTAGCTCCTTGTAAATAAGACGCCGGTCGATTGTTGTTCCATAGTCAGAAAATTCATCTGCAAACTGATGACATGGAAAAGATTTCTCAAATATCAGAGAATATAAATTCCGCGCTCAGATCTAATCCAAACGTGTTCTTGGAAAAGGAGGCCCCATATTGTATATTGTCGTATATTGAGGAGGGATCACAGTCATAATTGACTATTGGATGGAATTTTAAAAAAATGGTACGCCTTCTGCTTTTTCTGGTGCAGTATGTTTAATTTCACAGTTACTCATAAAATAGAAAACTTCAGGGTGTTTTTGTTTTGTTTTAGGTATAAAATTTATGACAACGAAACTTTTAACTCTGGCTATACTCTTTTGAGTTAATTTATTTTTTCGTTATAACCTGCATCTCTCATTGCATATCGAGACATAAATAATTTGCACACATCTTCAAACAAATATATGACATTAATTCTACGCGTAGCTACAACAGCTTATTTTTCTTGCTCTCAATGGATGCAGGACAAAGATGAATTACATAATATTTTTCTAGAAGTCGGTCGGATCATCAAGCAATGAAGAAATTATCGATTTTTCTTGTCTGAATCGAGTCACGTGACCAAATGCTAACCGTGACACTATTACAATGTGACAATGTATCAATTATCTATATGACTTTTTACGTTTCAAATACTCGGCAAATTTATTAATGTAAGTCCGATGAAGCTTACGATCACCGAAGATCTCACGGCCAGCTATTTCAGACCATTGTCGCAACTCATCGGAAACCATAGCTTTCTTCAAAGCATTAGCAACGCAGTTTCAATTTAACGAGCCATCTTCTTCATCTCTCTCAACTTCAATCCCCAAACCCTTCTCCACAATCACCTTCGCATTCAACGGCTGGTCGAAAACAAACAGCAAAAGAACAAGAACATGCCCATATTGCATAGTTTCGATAATCGAACCCCACCACGCATGAAATAGGGACCCGCCGATTGAAGGATGCATGAGGATCTCCCTCTGTGGGGCCCACCCTAATTGCACTAGCCCTTGCTCCGCCGTACGTTGGCGAAACCCTAGCGGCAACAATTTGTCATCGTCGCAGTTTTCGTCAGGTTTTCTCAGTGCCCATATAAACGGTACATCGGAGAGTTCGACCCCGTAAGCAATCTCGTGGATTTGTTCTTTACTGATCTTAGTCTCACTCCCAAAGCCTACAAAAACCACTGACCTAGGCTTTTGTCGGTCGAGCCAGTTAAAAATCGGTGTGTTCGATCGATTTGCAGTGTGATCCCGTTTTTTCAGGTGGGAGAAGACCCACCGGAAAAACCGGCTTTCCAGCGAGTTTCGCGAACAGTTCGATGTAGTGGGGTTCGAGCGCCGCACACATGTGGATGCAGACTGCACGGCTCACCTTGAGCAGTCTGATCAGCCGATCGTCGTCGGCAATTCCAGAGGCAAACCTTGTAGAAAACGTTGTGCATAGCGATAGCTTCGTTTAAAAATTACGAGGACGTAGGAAATTGAATTTGGCACGGTGGTTGTCGGGACCGTTTTGTCTGATTTCGAGAATTGCTTCGAAAACGTCGGGAGCGACTAGTTTGGGCAAGGCTTCCCCGCACACCAGGTTAGCCAGTGCCGAATGATCGAAAATTTTCCGACCCGAAAAAATAATAAAAATTACGAGGATGTAGTAAATTGAATTTGGCATCATGGTTGTTGGGAACGTTTGTTCAGATTTCGAGAATTGCATCAAAAACGTAAAGTTTGAGAATGGGTCGAGGGCGTTGCGCCCCCGGTGCCTCTAATCATAGGTTTTTCCCGATAGAACTCACGCTCGAGCTCCAGCTATCCTGAGGGAATCTTCGGAGGGAACCAACTACTAGTGGTTCGATTAGTCTTTCGCCCCTTTACCCAAGTCAGACGAATGATTGACACGTCGGTATCGCTGCGGGCCTCCACCAGAGTTTCCTGATCTGGCTTCGCCCCGCTCAGGCATAGTTCACCATCTTTCAGGTCCCGACAAGTATGCTCACTCGAACCCTTCTCAGAAAATCAAGGTCGGTCGGTGTTGCACCCCTCGAGCGGGATCGCGCCAGTCAGTTTCCTTACGCCCTGCGGGTTTACTAGCCCGTTGACTCGTACACATGTCAGACTCCTTGGTCCGTGCTTCAAGACGGGGCTAAAGGGGAGCCCGCTGGCCAGCACCAGGAGCGCGCAGTTGCCAAGGCACGCCGAGGGTGCGCGCTATCCGCCACAATCAGGCGATGGCATTCCACGGGCATATCAACTGCTCGGGCTTTGGCCGCCACCGCGACCCTACCTCCGGCTGAGCCGTTTCTAGTGTGGGCAGGCTGTTAAACAAAAAAGATAACTATTCCTGAGGACCTCGCCGACGTCTCTGGACTCCCTAACGTTGCCGTCAACCGCCGCGTCCCGGTTCAAGAATTTTAACCTGATTCCCTTTCGGAGCACGCGTTGAACACGCTGTCTGTCGGGCTTCCCCCGACCCTTAGGATCGACAAACCCAAGAGCAAATGCCGTTCACATGGAACCTTTCCCCTCTTCGGCCTTCAAAGTTCTCATTTGAATATTTGCCACTACCACCAAGATCCGCACCGACGACTGCTCTGCCCGGGCTCACGCCCAGGGTTTTGCAGCGACCGCCGCACCCTCCTACTCATCGGG